TTTAATCCAGCAAAAATTTTAGCATAAATTTTGTTCCAAAAAATTATTTTTTTTTTTTTTAATCTGCTTCATATTATCAGTTAATAATAAATTTATTTAATTCTTCGGAATTGATAATTTGATCCGTATGTTAGTTTCTAACCCAATTTAGGTAAATAAAATTGATGTGCTGTATGCGACAAACAAATTAAGAATAGTGAATTAGGAGACCATGAATTTTATGATGGTTTACACAGCCTTTTGTCCGGTGAAAAACAAAAACCTGCAAAAAAAGTATGATGAGAATGATGAAGACCCCGAACCAACTTATTCTGATGCCACGAGTAAAGACCATTTAATTATGGATAATGTCGGTTATAATAACATTGTTGGTAAATATCTCTAAGATTCAGTGAAGATAGTTTGCATCATGTAACGTGACATATACGCAAATTTTTATGTATTAGAAATATTCTGGATTTGTATCACTGGTCGAAGTAGGGGGATGTGCAATACATTTACACTAGAGAAATTTTATATACACGTCACATTTCAAATTGATTTACCAGTAATTTCAATTAATTCCAATTAAAGTGTATATTAAGGAAATTTGTTGTAAACTTGTCCAATTTCCATGAAGTGTATATGTCATTTGAAATTTACAAGTTTCTATTATATAAATGTATTTTAAATTGTGATAAAACCTTCTTTATATATCATTTAAACTTATAATACATTAAACAGAAATTTTTTATGATATAAGAAATGTTAATGAAATTTCGCTCATATTTGCAAATATATAGCTAAAATATTAACAATAAATACAATAAATTATTATAAATTTTATATAAATTTTATGTATATTATAATGAAACTTCACTTCTATTTAAGAATCATAAACTTCGTAGCCACGCTCAATTAAGGCAATGTATTACTAGACCTACACTAAAGATGACTTTAGCAAGGCTTTCTTTGTGAATTAAAAGAAATTTCATACACTTTGCCAGCTGGTGAGAAAGCCTATGATCTCTAACCTCAAACTTCTTTTCTACAAGATCCCTAAACATTTGATTCAGAGACCTAGACCATCTAAAAAAGAGAAAATTGAAATGTTAGTAAAAACATTTCATTGAAATGCATAATTAGAAACAAATCTCACCAAGTTTTCACGTGTTTAAAAAGTCAAAAAACCAACCATCTGAAAAAAGAAAGATGATGAATATTAGTGATCATTCTTTGTTAAAAGAAAAATTAAAGAAAAAAATTGAACTTACGAAATCCATGTTCAAAAATATCTCTGGATACCAAAGAGCAAGTCATCTATAAAAGAAAAAAAAGTTAGTAATCATTTTTTAATGTCAAAGAAAAAAAATATCTTACCGAAATCAGCCTCCAAAGAGCTGAAGACTTATCCAAATAAGAACGAAAATGAAGTTGTTAGGTTAATATTATATTAAAAAAAAAAGTTTAAGAATATAAAAAAAAAGTACACCATAACCTACGTGTCTAAAGATCCTAATGAAGCCGTCTAAAAAACTGAATTCATTAAAAATAATTTAAAAATCACTTTCCCTTTTTTTAAATTAAAAAAAAGAACTTTAAAAAAAGAATTATCAGAAGTCCATGTGTCAAAAAAATCCACGTTAAAATGAGAGAAAAAACTTCATCTTCCATTAACAAAATTCTGCTTCAAAGATCCAAAGTACCATAAGGCTAAAAAATAAAAAAAGAAAAATTTCATTAATAAAATTCTTTTAAAATAGGTTTCTTAAAGTCAATTCTGAATTCAAATAGCTTACCAAAGTCTGGAAATACAGAACCTATAAAGATTAAAAAAAGAAGCGTCAGACATTTCTTACAGATAAATGACGAATTCCTCTCAAAAGAAATAACTCACTATCCAAAAGTCTTCCACAGACAAGTCATTACCTACAAAAAAATAAAAAAAAAGGAAATTTAGTATGTTCCTCATAATTAATGGCGAAATTCTTTTCCCAAAAATTTTACTTACTGTCCAAAAAGTCCCTCCAGAGAACATTACCTACCAAAAAAAAAAGAAGGAACATTTAATACATTTTTTATAGAAACTTTTTCCCCAATAATCACCAATCGTCTGAAGATTCTCTGTTACCTTTAAAAAATTAAAAAGAAAATTTTAATACATTTCTAATACTAATAATGAACTATTAAAACAAAACTAACTTGCCATTTATTTTAATTTCCAGTTCTTGTTTTATTGTAAAGTATAATTTTTACTTTTGTTTTCTTCAAGTCCAGCTATCATAGGCTTGGAAAAAATTTTATGAAAAATAATAAGAAAAAAAAAGAAAATTATAGTAAATAACGATAAAACAAAAAAAAAATTCAAAAAATTGATAAAAATAAAAAGAAATCACCTAAGAGAGCACTATTTGCGAAAATGTTCAGTTGAACTTCAACTTTGAGCCATTGGAATTATTTGTTCATTTCCTTTAATTTTTGTCAGTTGTTCATACCAATAGCTCATTGATGTCATTGTTGTGAAAAAAAAATTAATGAAGGAGAAAGAGGGAAAGGAATTATGGGAAAGAACAAACTTTTTTTTTAAAGAAAGATTATCCGTCATTGAACTGCGCCTATCAGTTATTATATCATGTGATACACATGACAAAATAGGACCCGATTCCATTTTGAGGATTGATATAACATATTAAACTATTTTAACTATTTTAACTATTTTTAATCACGAATAAACTATTTTTTAATTTTCTTTACATTTTCTTTTATACTCTTCAAAATAATAAACTGCAATTATGGTTTTTGATGCTTGGAATATGTTCAACTTAACCATCACAAAATGACACAAATAGCAAATACAATAATATAACATTAATTATTATTTCTCACAAACATTCTAGATTTTTTAATATAAATTGACTTGAGATTATTAGAGGTCATAAGCTTTCTCACCAGCTGGCAAAGTGTATGAAATTTCTTTTAATTTCACAAAGAAAGCCTTGCTAAAGTCATCTTTAGCATAGGTCTAGTAATACATTGCCTTAATTGAGCGTGGCTACGAAGTTTATGATTATCTCTTTGCTTTTTTTTTGTAATTTTGTAATAATATAAATTTTGTTTTAGTATAGCAAAATTTCAATAATAGTAAGTAAATGGCTTGTTGCAAATTTAATATCATATTTCAAGTAAATTTCAAGCTATTATATGCGTAATAAACATTGATATTAAATTTAATTAAAATTTATTTAGAATTTATACATTATAATTAGCGAATTAGTTTTAAAATCATAAAATTTACAATAAATTTTACCCGTTTCAATCTATAAATTAAATTTGATGGAGATTTCTTAAGCGTAATTGAGATCAACAAATGTATAAGCTATTTATGGGCAATAAACTTCATGCAAATCATCCCACTTCGACCAGTGTATTAAAACCCATCGCCTTATAAAATAAAAATCACGTGTGTGTGACTTATGCAAAATATCTACAGCAGTAAAACGTCACACACATCTATTTTTAGAGAGGAAGTTTGCTCGAAATTTCTGGCATATGTTTTTCATTACGCAGTTTCGAATTAATAAAAAAACCGCCCCTTAATTTGTATGTCATACATTCACCCATCATGATTTTAAATCGTAAAACAGATCTCGAAATAAAAATATTAATTATCCTGCTGGCGTTAGAGAATTCAATATTACTTACACATGTATACTAATTTATAATTCCATTTGAAGAATTACTCCAATTTTTTTCCATTTTCATGATGCGATCAAGGGCGTATTCTAGATCTAGTGTAAATTATATAAAAAGGTGTCCGCCCCAGTTAGTAAAATTTATCCGCCCTGTACAAATATAAGGAACCGCAAAGCAATAATAAGAAGGCTGATTTATTGTTTGCTACCTTCTTGGACATGTCATCATGATGTTAATCGATTTTCGTGCCTCTATAGATGTTTCAAAATAAAATGGACATATTACTTTTTTTTGGGGAATATTACTCTTCTTGTTATATATTGGTATTTGATCTTTGCATCATCACGTGTGCAATAGACGCAGTGAAATTACTAATATGAATCTCGCCACGTGCAAAAAGCCTGGCGTAGCATATTAAATAATTATTCTGTTAATGGTATCATAAGCATCTTCATGTGCCAAATTCTTGAACGTTCCGGAGATAACGTAGAAAAAATTAATCAATCAATTCCTTGTACCGGAATGGAATGTTGCGTAAATGAAGTATATCGGTAAGTGTGAGTTGGAAATGTTATTTTTTACCTCAATTGCTAATCTACCGAATTTATGCATGCTGTAGGTTCGAAATTACTTAATCTTGGAAAAGTTTTCTTGAGAGGAATATTATTTTACATAATCTGTGCATGTGAGTGATATAATTGGTGGATAATTTATCTTGGAGATCTAATGTAATAAAAGAGTGTGGATGAAGAATCTTGTAGTTAGCAATCGTGATAGAAATAAATCAGCAGTAGAAATTTATTGATACATGGGACTCGCATTAAATGGTCTAGGATCCGCGTACTACCTCCCTCTTTGATAGCATCATTTATTTCAATTATTTCATTACTTTATATTACTTAACTAAGTTAGGTTTTGAGTTTTTAACAGAATGTATGAATGTGAAAAACCAATATAGTTATTTGGCTTTGCATTTCTTAGTATACGTAAAAAAGGCTAATTTTTAATTTTCATTATAAGCAAAGTTATGCTACTATGAATACAAGCAAATACAAGCATTTAAAAGATTTACAGGATTTAGAAAAGCAATCTAATATTTCTCGGATTCTACTACACTAGACACAAAAAACACGCATTTATTTTAACATCATATTTTGAAATACAAGAAAGGTATTCTTTAACCAAAGAGACAAGCTGAAATTTTCTTCTGTCTTAACAGAGTTGCAGCCTATATGTTACTTAAGAAAGAACTACAATTTGAATAATAATTTGGAATTACATATTACAAGAAGGAATTATAATTCTTATACAGAGGTATTATTATCTACTTAGAGATTAAAGAATTTGAACCAAGGTTCTTTGGCTTCAGTTTGATCAATATTTGCAGTTGCAGTTTGTTCAGTTTTCAAGCGTTCTCCACTTCCTGCGAATAAATATCCTTTGATAAGACCTATATCTTCTTTGATAACACCTATTTCATCACCCAATTTGTTGATTTTCTAAATTTGAATGAGATTAGTAGATTAGTATTAATTTTGTGCTTGGGGAATGATCATTAAAACTTCACCTACATATATGGTGATAAACGAACCACCCGCTAGTCCCACAATAGCGGCAATATTAACCACATTTCTTCCAAATGACGAATCTAATTTTTATTTAATAAATACAGTAATTATGTTATTATATCCTTATTACAACAACATACTGTACTATACAATTTTGTCCTTACTTTTATTATCCAAATTATTAGTAGAAGACGTAGAAGCCGTGTTACTGGCGTCACTAGTAGACAATTTTCTTGTTGTAGTATTAGTAGATCTAGCCGGGTTATTTCTTAAAGTATTTAAACTTCTTAGCGTTCTTGCGTATCTAAGCATAATTTTTTTTGCAATAGAAGTAATGATAAAATTAAAAATTAAAAGAGTTTTTGAAAAAGTTGAGGTATATCTACACTTTTATTAGACTATTTATTATGACAAAGTGATATAGTAAAAGATAATTTATCAGTACCCAGAAAAAATGATTAATACGGTTTTATCATTACTCACTCAGAGTATTTATTAAAGAAGTGAAATTAACATTACGTAATTTTTCGGTCGTACGATTGATGGCTTTAGCGCAGTAACTCTTATGTCACTTTTTCCGAGCCGTTGCATTATTTTCTCCTTATGAACTCGTTTAAAGGAAACCGACATATCGAAGTTTGAAAGAAGCGATAACGAAAAAATTATTGAAGTCCGGGCGAGACACCAATAATAAAATTCTATATATTAAAAAAAATTGATGATATTTGTGACGTCTGTCTGATCTATTCCGTGTTTATTATAGTTTTAAAAATTATTTGTTCCGTAATCATATTTCTTTTTGGACAACATGATCGGCTGCAGCAAGAACATTGATTTGAAAAAGCTTTTACCGAATTTTTTTTTCAATTTATCCTGATTTTAGTTATTTTTTTCTTTATAATCCGTAATATTTTTTCCTAATTGATGACCGGAATACTGCGGTGCTATAATTTTTTTTTTTTTTTTTAGATTATTTTTTTTTTTTTGCTAATATTTCTTTTTTTCTTAATTATTTGTTTGTTCTTTTGCCTTTTAGGTTTAGACCGAGCCAATGCCGATGTAATCAAAATAAGTATTTTTTTTATTTGAATAAATATATTCATATGAATTTTCTTTAGTTAGAATAAGCATGATTCTTAAAAAATATCTGGCCAAAAAGAAAAATAAATAAATTTAAAATTTTTTAAATAATAATTTTTTTTTTAAATAATTAGTACATTAATACTTATTTTAATATTATCCTTTATTATTATTAATTATTATTATAGAATTTTTAATCAATTTTTTATTTTTCACTCATATCATAATTCAAATTATAAGAATTGTAAGTAATATATATCAAAAATTTCATCATAATGTTGATTTAAACTCATTAATCCTAATTGTAACACCAACAGTATATTAAGTATATTATCAATTTATCATAATTATTGTAGTTTCATAAGCCGTAGGACTATAGTAAACTTTTGTAACAGAATGAAAGAAAATGATAAAAAATATATTATGCAAACCAGATAAAATCACTCGTCATTATCATTAATATATTAAACTTACAGCTGATGTCAATTGATAGTAGTTTAATTTCTTTGAAATATTCTAAAATTTCTTTAGCAATAATAATAGTTTCCAAACCTAATTTTTTTTAAGTTCTTTCCTTATTCTGTTTTTTTTTTATTTTAATTGATCTTAATTTTATTAATTTTATTACAAATATACTTTTACGTTCTTTATTTTTACCATTCTAATACCAAATAGAGTTTTAATCTATGAAAAAAAAGTTTATTGTTAATATATCACATCATACAATCATACGTGTATCTTCAGTTAATAATGCCACTTTACATATTAAAGAAAATTCGCTGTACGTAACTCGATAAATTAATGTGTGGAATAAAAATGTTGAATCAAGATTCTAATATATTATATTATGGATGGAAACGTTCTATAAATATTTTTGATTTGTATTATGACAATTTTAAACTTTTAATGAATTACAATTTTTAATAATATCATCATTGTATTATTATTATATGTTGATATATGACATAATCCAAATAGAGACGCAAATTCAGCAGAAGTCATAATTATTACAGAAGAATAAATATAAATTTATTTATTATTTTTATATTTATACTTCAGGGAAATCCTCAACCCATTTAATTGTAATATCAGTATGAGCAACATTTTTCATGCCTTGGAAAGTTTTATAAAAAGAACCATCTTTAAAAGGTCTATCAAAAGGATAACCAAAAGGTTTGATATCAGGAACTTTATCCGTCCATTTTTCACCTCCACATAATAGTGTACTACCACATTGAGTATCAGTACTTACAAAATCATTCGTACCATCGGAAACATAAACGAAAAGTTTAAATGTTGATCCTTTTTTACTTCCACGTGGTATAATTAAATTATAAGGCCATCCACAATCACAGAATAATTTTTCCGCGATTTGAGCTAAATTAAATTGATCCAATTTTTCTTTTTTCCATGGTGTGATTGCTGTTTCATCCATTTGTTTTGTCGTTTTTTGTGCTGGCTTACGAATTCCCACCGCATGATCACATCTTTGTGAAACGACAGTTTTTTCATAAGGTCCTAAAGTTCTCTTGAATTTATCAATTTCAATCCAATAAGCATGTTTATCTATCAAATCAATTGGCGCAATCCAAATACGGAACGTTAATATCACAGGCTACAAAAGATAAATTAATTAATTAATCGATCAAAAAAAAAAAAAAAAAAAAATATTTAGTTTTTTTTTTTTGAAAGATTTTTTTTTTTTTTTTATGAAAAGTACTTACCATGTAATGTATAAGGATGCATAATATAAGCAAGCATGTTGTGACCAATATTATGTAAGACGACTTCGATATCACTGCCCAAGCTTGTTGCTTCATCGTCAGTTAAGTTTAATTTAAATGGATGCACCTGATCTGTTTTACCGTCAATCCATATTTCAAGTTCGTCCAGCATATATGTTAAATCTTTAACGCTGATTACAATTTCGGTGTTACCACCAGCCATTGTAACTAAAATATGATTAATATCATAAATAATTTTTTTAAAAAGAAAAAGGATTCCAATAAATTTACTAGAATTTAAAATGAATTTACCAATATCGCGAAAGACCTGATTAGGAGGACGAGCAGGGAAAGGAACCCGTACACCATCCGGTCGTCCATCAATAGGCTGTGATAAGAATGGAGGGGGATAGAAAGCTTCAGGTATCGGATGAACGTAATCATTCAATGGATCTACGAGCGGCATTCCAAGGCACCAACGATTTGCGTCATATCTAACAAAGGTTGAATTTAGTTTCACAATTTTAAAGAAAAGTTTTTTTTTTATTTAGAAAATTACCTGGCCAACATGTATCTGTGCATATAAATAAAATTTTCTCCTTCTCTATCTTTTGTAGTCCCATTGTATTCTCCGGAAGGCATAACTAAATGCCAATGTTCATGATATTGATTTAATACTGGGTCATTACGCCACCAAAACATTTTATCTTTAGCAGGATCATAAATATTTTTATCTGGCCATCCGTCAGCCATTATTTTTGCTTGTGGTGGATCTTTGAATAATTCTTTATAGTTGAGTTTCTTTCTCTTTTCCTTCTCTCTTTTTGTTGTTTTTATTGTTGTATTATCTGTATCCCTTTTTTTTACAAAATTCTCTTTTTTAAATTGTACAATTCCATAATGAATTAATTCTTCTTGAAATGTCGATCTCTTTTGAAATGTGGTCCGTTTCGTCCATGGAGATAGTAGCTTTTTCTCAAAAATGTTATGAGAATTCTCTTTAAAATGTCTTATACATAGCTGCGAAAATTGGGTCAATAATAATCAATACGCATTATCATCATCATCAAATTCTGTCTTGAACTTACCGGAGAAAGTTCAGCAATATGACTGCTACTACGGACTTGGTTATAACAATAATTAGAAACTGACATAACCCTCAAAGAAATAAATAAAAAAAAAAAAATTTTTTTTTTTNTTAGATAAATGGGTAGGCCAATATTTAGAGATCGGAGGAAAACTGAAAGATATTTGGTTTTCATCAGATTTATTGGATTTATAGACACATCATAATCTAGTGGTTTTTATAAGTTCCTGATATGCAGAAAATTATTCAATATTAGATTAATTAGAATCTCATAATTAATTATTATTATTTTATTTAATAAAAAAACTTACTATAATATGGAGAAACACGTGTTGCGAAATGGTTTTTTTAGTTAAATAAACCATTTCGCAACGGTTTTTAAAGCCAAAATCTAATCTATTGTTGTTGGAAAAAAAAATTAAAAGATTAAAAGGAATGACTAAACGAAAAAAAGAAATCCGATCTATTGTTGTTGGAAAAAAAAATTAAGATAAAAAAGAATGACTAAACGAAAAAAAAAAAAAAAAAAAAAATAGTCATAAAGTCTCGTTTAAGAAAGAAGAGAAAAAAAGAAACACGTGAATTAAAGAAAAAACAAAAATTGAATAAAGACTCTTATTATTTCTGGTGGCTGTGTAATGTTATAAGTTTACAAGTGGCAAGATATATATATAATATATATATATAAATTCAAATAAACAAATGACACATATTTTGAAGGATGATATGATCGACACGCTAAGGAATTTACCAAATTTGCCCAAATTATTTATTATCTTTATTAACAAACACTATAAAAATGAATAAATTTAATTTTCATAATTATTAATTTCCTAAATATATTAGCAGTGATGCAATGTTAAATTTCAGTTATTTTCAGAAATTTTTATTAAAATATTATGAGTTTTATTGGAGACAGCAGAATTTTAAGTCGATCATAGATTAACATACGAATTTATTTTTTATTTTGAATAAGAGATCTTTGGTTATTTTTAATGGTCATATTTTTCATGAAACTATTGAAGGGATTGTTAATAGCTGATTATATTTTGGAATTAAAGATAAAAAAATTTTAAAAAAATTTTAGCTAATATTAAAGAGTTACCAAGAACTGAAGGTTTATTTGGATACCCAGATGTGAAGTAGTAAGTCAATGGGAACATAATCTGGTATTACTAAAAATATGAAATGAATGGGATAAGCTAATAAATCGTTGATTACACATTATGGAGCTAGTAAAAAGCCAAATGCAGATTTGTACAGGGAAGTTTAGATAAATGGGTAGGCCAATATTTAGAGATCGGAGGAAAACTGAAAGATATTTGGTTTTCATCAGATTTATTGGATTTATAGACACATCATAATCTAGTGGTTTTTATAAGTTCCTGATATGCAGAAAATTATTCAATATTAGATTAATTAGAATCTCATAATTAATTATTATTATTTTATTTAATAAAAAAACTTACTATAATATGGAGAAACACGTGTTGCGAAATGGTTTTTTTAGTTAAATAAACCATTTCGCAACGGTTTTTAAAGCCAAAATCTAATCTATTGTTGTTGGAAAAAAAAATTAAAAGATTAAAAGGAATGACTAAACGAAAAAAAGAAATCCGATCTATTGTTGTTGGAAAAAAAAATTAAGATAAAAAAGAATGACTAAACGAAAAAAAAAAAAAAAAAAAAAATACCACATAAAGTAAGGTCAAAGTCCGATCTATTGTTACAAAAAAAAAATGTAAGAAAATCCCGAAGTTAATTCAACTATATGAATACGGAATAGTCCAGGCGCAGACAAATCATGTGTTGGACAATTCAAAATTATTTATACAGGTTAATCTAAACGTAACGGTTGCACACCAATTTTTTTTAGTATATAATAATAACTAGAATTATACTTTCGAGTTTAGATGATCACTTACAATAATATATATAATAAATTTATTCCGTGTTTTTTATTCTGTTATTTCCGTAAATGTATTATATTCACGGAATTTATAGCCTCAAAATGTATAGATTTTTAGTTATTTTTCCGTAATATAGAAATTACGGATAAATCTTTTACAGAAATGATATCTTCTAACAAAAATGTAAATTTTTCGTTA